GACCCACGGAGGTAGCGAGACGGCTACAGGCACACTTTCCAAAAACTAAATATTTTTTGAAAAGTTTCCACACTTTTTAAACACTGTCCCCACAAACAATGTCCTCACTTTGCAAACTATCCACACCTCCTGAAAACACTAAGTCAAAATGAGACTGCGGGGCTGTGGTAAAAACCAAGATTTAGAAAGTCACTCAGTATAATTTTTATTGTATGTACAAATGGTACATACAAAGAATGGGGAAAAGAAGTTTAATATTACAAATAACTGTCACGTTTACTTGGAGAAAGATCCGTTTAATTTTGAATTCAGCTCTCCTGATGCCTTTTGTCTCTTCATGTAATCCCTCAACACAGATATCAGGGCTCTGAGGGGGCCTCGCCATCTGTTGCAGGACTCCTTGTTCTTCTTGTGGCTGAAGATGAAGATGCTGCTAACTGAATTTGGGACTGGCAGAGGGCTCCCAGAGGGGGGGCCTCGTCACAGACGAGAAATGCAACATAAAATGTCTTAAACTTGTGTCCAGTGCTGCATAACGGTTAATATTCAGAGCAGTAACACTCGCTCGGCTGTCTGTCATGTGTTCATAGAGAAATAACTGTCACTGACAGCCTTGGCGTGACGTCATCACCAGCACTCAGTTACAGTCAGTGGCATTTTATTTTTTTCCAGTCAATCAGGCTGCCCTTCACATGTCGACACTGCAGCATACTGGGCTGTTCGAGTCACACTGTCTACAGCCACACTGATGGCCCATTTATCTCTGTTTGAAGCGGCGGCAGCAGTGATGGCAGCAGCGGCCCCTTCAGCACTCTGACGACAGCAGGAGAAGGTGAACAAACAGCTTTTCAGAATGAAAACCTGTGAACATTCGAGAAAATGTCCACCATCCTCATGGGCAAACAACACATTTCATTTAGTGTTTAATAGGTTGTCATAACATGGCAGACGTTCTGTGAGAGTGATTGAATAAAGCATTACCTCCCCTCCTGCAGTGGTGGCTGTGGGGGGGACAGTAGCGGACTTATGAATATAAAGTGTATGTTTGAATATAACAGCATGTCACGTGCAGAAAAATAAACTGTCACCGGTCTAAATACATTAAGCTTCATTTCTGTTTCCCTGCTATTTCTACATAACCGAGAAGTGCATGTCGTATTTTAGTCAATTAACTTTGTTGTGCTGAGGAAGTTACACATATTTATCATCCTATTTTTGAAAAGATTCTGCTGCACTTTGCCTTTTCGTAGCTGCAATCTTAGTATCTCAGTTTTGTATATAATATGTCAATATTATTTTGCTTTATTTAAATATATTCTACACCTGTAGACATATAAACACATCCTTCGATCATAGCAAGACAGTTACATTGCAAGCTTGGTTACATCTTAGTGCATTTTATTTTCAGGTCTAAACAAATGTTTTCAAGTTGTGCATTGAAATTTCAGAATTAATTTATGCCTTCCTTATTGTAGCAGTATTATGTCCTCATGATAAAAGCATTTGAGCTTTGTATTGTCTGAGAAAAACAGCTGCCATGTGAATATCAGAAAGAAAATGAACTTACTGATTTTTCTCCACTTCAACTTAAGGCCAATATATTCTCCCCTTATGTATTCTTTGTCTGGTCTCCATCTGCTATCCTGTTCTCCCCACCTCAGAGGTTTTTTGTTCCTTCTCACTGTCGCCAAGTGGTTGCTCAAAGTGAAGCCAAAGGAGACTTTGGATTTGTCAGGTTTCTCTGTTTAAAATTCATAAGGTCTTCACCTTACTATACAAAGTGCTATGAGATGCCATATGGTGTGAACTGGCACTATATAAATACAAATGAATTGAACCACTTTTATTTGTTGACAAAAAGAGTAAAGCATTTTATCATAGGTCCCATATTGAACTCCAACTTTTTGCTTAGTTTCACTGTAAAAAGTTGTCAGTAAATATTATTTGTCTCGTTTTAAAATTGTAACTAACTGTCCTTGCCAAGGTACCATCACTGTATTCAAAAAATCAAATCAGATCAAATCAAATGAAATTTATTGTCATTTTACTGTACATACACAGTAGCACAGGCGAGATGAGAGAGCGTTTCTTCAGGATCATTTAATTAATAAGTGTTGCAGAATGAACATCTGGGATAGGCAAGACATTAAACATTCACTCTCGCTGTCTCCTGAAGGGGCCGCTGCGTCCATGCATGCCGCCATTCGTCGAACATGGTGAATCTCTTCAGGTCCTGGTAGGTCTTCAGGGACACAAAGACACACACAATGGTGTGACGATGGTGAAGCCGCAGATGCTGCCCAGAGCTAGCTGCCTGTCTGTCCGCCTGGAATAATGTTGTCCCCTCCAGCTGTATGGCCGTCTGGGATGCCGCAACAAGCCATATTTCTGTTAAAGCAAACTCAGTAGTCTTTCCACTCTGTGTGGAAAAAAATTCATTGTTAAGTAATAGTTTACAGTCCAGTTTTTTTTTTTTAAACGAAATTAACAAAGAATAAATTATTGAACTGTTTTAGAATAAGAAACTCTGAGTTTCTCATCTCAGCTTTAGTCACCTCAGACTTCAGGGTCAAGCTCTATGTTCTTAAGGTCTGCCGTATAAGTTAATTTATTGATTTATTTATTTATTGATTGATTTATTTATTTATTTATTTTTGTCCACTGTGTCCCCTGCCTTGCCCTACTGCAGGGCGACAATTAGAGACAGACAACCAAGCACACTCACATTCACACCTACAAGACAATTTAGAATCACCAGTTAACCTCAACATGTTTTTGGAACTTGTAGGAGGAAGCCAGAGAACGCTGTTGTGTAAATGATGTATTATTTGAAACATATATAATCATTAAGTTTAAAGAATAAAAATAATTAATCTTGAGGGTTTGTTCATTATATGTTACCCATTACAATGTTGATTCTTAAAGATTTGTGTGCTTGTAAGTCATCTTGTTCTGCAGGACAGGGGTCCTGTCCTTGGGAGGAAACAGATGAATGTGTGACTGCCAATAACCTGATAATCGATAACCAGGATGAGCTGCGGATGTGGGGAAGACAGGCTGTAAAGATAATGGGCGTACATTCCAGGGAAGGAACAAAGGATCAAAGGAACAAACGAACAACTGGACAGACCACAGGAGGATGTGAAACAGCTTGTGTGACAACCAAGGAGATGAGTGTTGACCTGAGGAGGAGGGAGGTGCTGCATTCCCCCATTTTCATCGGTGACACTGAGGTGGAGAGGGTGGAAACATTCAAATTCCTCGGTACACATATCAGCAATGGTCTCACCTGGTCCCACAACGTTAAAGAACTCACAAAGAGAGCGCACAAATGGTTGTACTTACTCAGGAGACTGAGGAAATTTGGGATGCCTCCTGAAATCCTCAGCAACTTCTACAGAGGTGAAGTCGAGGGTGTGCTCACCACCGCCATCACTGTGTGGCATGGAAACTGCTCCCTGCAAGACAGGAAGGCTCTCCAACGTGTAATAAAAACTGCACAAAACATCTCTGGAGTGGCCTTCCCATCGCGACAGGACATCTACACCAGTAGGGTCATCAGGAGAGCCCAAAACATCATCAAAGACCACACACACCCACAGCACACACTCTTCACACCACTGCCATCAGGGAGGCAGGACAGGAGTGTGAAGTTAAGGACTACAAGACTTTCAAACAGTTTCTTTCCTCAGGCCATCAGACTCCTGAACAACCAGAAACACTAACTGATCACTGCTGTTCAATGTACAGTTCCGTTAACATGTGTCACCAGGCACTGAGCACTTTAAACATTCATCTGCTGCTACATCTCCTCATTGATGCTGCTACCTGTGAATAGTCTTTATGCATCTTAGTTTCTGTCTCTTTTTTATTCCCTTGTATCTATTTATATTATATTATATTATTACTTTATTTTTTGTTTGTTTGTTTGTCTGTTTTTATACACGTTTTTTTTTTTTTGCTTTTTGCTGTTTTTTATTATCATTGTTATGTATATGGGAGTGTGCAAATGAGACAATTTCATTGCCCAGTGTTAAACTGCTGTTTTTGATGCTGTGCATGTGACAATAAATGTCTATCTATCTATCTATATTGTGCAACCTGTCATATGACTGAATAGTATAAGACAAGGGTCTGAGGAAAAGGTCTTAGTCTCACTCTGTCTGATGCTAGGGAGAGTTTGACCCGGAGCTCTGTAATGCAATATTCAGTGTGTGATTAAATTGATTGATTGAGACCGCGCTGAATTTGTTTCGTCTTTACAAACGAGCACGTGGAGAAAAGAGAATCTTCTCCAACAACCCGGAGAGAACCCACGCTGCACGGGGAGAACATGCAAACTCCACGCAGAAAGATCCCGGGTGTCCTCACTGGGAAGCGAACCGGCGACCTTCTTGCTACAAGGCAACGGTGCTAACCACCGCCCCACCTTGCAGCCCATGATGCAAAATCCCTGGACAAAAATGTTACCTCAATGCTACGAACACCTTTAAGCATCTTCTTAAATTTATGAAATTAATTTCCAAAGACAGACCCCTCAATCATCCATCTTTCCATTGGCTGGAGCCTTTCCCAC